CTAGAAGGAAGTGCTTAGTGTAGTGAAAACCAGAGGAGCAGAGGGCTCTGGGAGCCCACGTGTAGAGCTGGAGTCTTGCAGATTGCAGAAGTTCTACAGGTGGACAGAGGTGAAGATCAGGAAACGGAGCGAACTTAGCATGCAACTGAACACATTGAGATGATGGTGGTGTTGAGCCCTAAATGACACAGCATCACACGCCTATCATCTCAACCCTTGGAGGCCGAGGCAGGAGATTTAGGAGTTTGAGGTCATCAGGGGGACACAGCGAGAACCTGTGTACAAAACAACACCCCCCCCCCAACTTCTGAAATGTGTTTCCTCAATGAAATGGGAGTGGGTAAGGCAGCATCTTTGGGGGTGGCATGGAGCACAGATTCTCCCGTGCTTTATAATGGCCATAGACACCCCGAGAGAAGCTGCTAGGGAGACACCGGGTCAGACACGGGAGGACCAACAGAGCATAGCTCTACTTATAAGGAAGTGCTTAATGTAGCAAAAATCCTAGGAACAGAAAGCAACATGGTCCTGGTGGCCAGGACCTGAGGGCACTGGGAGGTGATGAGCAGAGCTGGAGTGGGGCCTCCTGGAGCCAGGCAGGGTCCTCCAAGGCCTGCCTGCTCTGTGGGGTCAGGGCTGAGCCACCCTCATTCAAAGCTTTGCACAGTTTCTCTGGAGATCTGGGTAGCACAGATTTCAGTGGAGCAAGTCCAGGGTCGGGCTTCCAGGTCCTGCTGGCTTCAGGTGCTGGGCCTCATGTGACCACTGACATAGGCCATGGGGTAAGCAAACCTCCCCTGGGGTGGGGAGGGGCTCCCACCGGAGCACTGCAGGGGTTTTCAGGATGCCTGGGAACAGGTGGGTTTGTCCCTTCCTCAGATGACAGAATGAGAATGTTCCAGTAGAAAGAAGCCCCCGGGGCCATCCTGAGGGTGGCGGCAGGAGCAGGGAGACATCTTCAAAAGGACAGCTCCAGAGTAGACACCTGCGCCAAGGGCATCTTCCCACCAGGCAAGCTGTGGGGAGGTCGGGCAGCCTTGGGAGCTGAGCTCTACCAATTGACAGCCACCACCCTCCAACCTTGGAAGGAGACTTCCAGGCAGCTAGACCATCCAATCTACCATTCCCAAGACTTGAAAATACCTTGAGAATCTAAGTCCTTTCCTTGGAAACATGTAGACTATAGGAAACATTATTTTTCTGAAAATACATTTACAAACTTGTTAAAAAATAATTAAGGGACTGGAGAGATGGCTCAGAGGTTAAGAGCACTGGCTGCTCTTCCAGAAGTCATGAGTTCAATTCCAAGTAACCACACAGTGGCTCACAACCATCTGTAATGCGTTCAGTGTCCTCTTCTGGCATGTATTACAGGCACACATGCAGGCAGAACACTGTATACATAATAAGTAAATCTTTTAAAAAAACTCATTAAAAAATAAAAATGCTAGTGGGGCGGTGGTGGTACACATGCCTTTAATCCCAGCACTCGGGAGGCAGAGGCATACGGTCTCTGAGTTCGAGGCCAGCCTGATCTACAAGAGCTAGTTTCAGGACAGGCTCCAAAGCTACAGAGAAACCCTGTCTCAAAAAAACAGAAAAAAAAAAAAGAAAAAGAAAAATGCTAACAAATAATGCCTTACACAACAAGAGCTTATCCATAAAATGCAAAGTATGTATGTATGTATGTACCTATGTATGCATGTATGTGTATGTATGTGTATGTATGTGTATGTGTGTATGTGTGTATGTATGTATGGAGTGTTTCCAGGGTGTTCAAGATGAAAATCAGCAGCAAAAAATGTGAACAATTTAAAAGCAGTTTAGAGGGCTGGAGAGAGAGAAGGCTCGGTGATTAAGAGCACCTGCGACTCTTACACAGGCACCATGTTCAGTTCCCAGCACTTATCTGGTGGCTCACAGTGACCTATAACCCAGTTCCAGATGCACTGATGTCTTCTCATCTCAGAGGGTTCCAGACAGACATGTGGTGCACAGACGTACAGACAAACACTCATACATATAAAATAAAAATAAATACATCTTTAAAAATAAGCAGCTAGCCGGGAGTGGTGGCATACACCTTTAATCTAAGCAGGAGGCAGAGTCAGGCAGATCTCTGTGAGTGTGAGTTCCAGGACAGCCAGGGCTACACAGAGAAACCCCATCCCGAAATACACACACACACACACACACACACACACACACGATCTTGTAACTGATTCATGCCAATGCCCTTATTTTTATAATACTTACATATGTACACAGATAAAACTAATCTATAAAATTCCACATATTTTTCTCATTGTGCTCTGCCAATTCCACAGTGGGTGTTAGGACAGTCATAAAAAGAAGACAAATCCAGTGGAGACCTAAGCACCCCAAGTGGGGTGGTGCCAGGGCTTCCTGGGGAGGGACTGCATGCTCCCCGAGTCCTCAGCGTCCTAGCACACGGCTGGGAGGCCACATGTTTCAGAGCATCCTAACCATCACAGAAACAGGCGGGATTCTAATGTCCTTTCTCTTTACCTTAGACCATAGTTTATCCCCATTTGGTACCAGATGGTGGGCAGACCCATTCCCTCCCAACTTTCCCTAAAGCACCCATGGCCCTAAGCAAGCAGAGTTTGGACGGTTTTGTTTGTTGTTTGTTTTTCAAAAAGGGTTTCTCCGTGTAGCCCTGGCTGTCCTGGAACTCGCTCTGTAGACCAGGCTGACCTCAAATTCACGGAGATCCCCCTGCCTCTGCCTCCCGAGTGCTGGGATTAAAGGTGTGCACCACAACTGCCCGGCTGGTTTTGGACTCTTAAATGGTGTGCTGGACAATGACTTCCGGCAATCCTAGTCCTCCTTGGCTCTCAAATGTACTGAAGGATGCGGTGTCTCCGTTTTCAGACAGGTGGCGCTGCTGACACAAAGGAGCGATTGCTTAGGGGTTCTCAAGGTGTATCCGTCATTCAGCAACCCTCCATGCAGACGGAGCATCCAAACACAAGGTCGCCATCTAATACTACCGCTATCACCAAAAACGGAGGGAAAGTGTCTAAGAGATGTTTTAGAAAGGAATACATTTAAAGAAAATCCTCACGGTTTAGTTCTTGATCTTACCATTTCACCCAAAACCTGTCAGCCGTGTGACAGCCTTTGAGGAGCTCAGGGGCAATTCTCCAAGTTCAGAGTTCTGTAGAAATTAACTAGCTTCAAATTAAAAATACCTTTTGCCTGCAAGGGGGGGGGGTCTTTCCTTTTGGCTACATTAGCTACTGTTAAGCAGATCCATCCAGCGTAAAGAGAAATTCCAACACCTGTCTACAGATTCAAAGGAACCCAGCAGCTTCAGGACCGAGACCTGTCATTCACCAGGATACGAGAAGCCCCCAAACAGGAAGAGAAAGGGCTCGGGAACAAGCCAGTCCACACTGTGAGCTAGCAGCTAACCACTGAAACACTACGACCCTCACTCCCTGCCCCCCTAAGTCAGCAAGAGTCACATTCTGGGGAGCCATCTCCCTACACACACAATGACTACAGAGATTCATCAACTTGCCGTGATGACGTCACTCTTTCCCAGGGGCACAGACTGTGTTCTGTGTTCAGCTTGTGTTCTGTCAGTGAGGCTGACAGATTGCCCAACAAATCCTCAGTTGATTCCCCAAGTTGGTAAACCCAGATCCGCTTCTGCTACACAGAGATGCTACGCGAGCTGGCAGGTGGATTGCTGGAAGCCAGCAGGAAGGCCTGGAGTTTAGGAGACACGGCCCGAGCTGCATTACACACACACACACACACACACACACACACACGCGGGAGTTGCAGCTGCTCTGGCGTCCTGCCCCTGCAAAAGCCCTTCTTGAAACACATCCTCAATGACAGTCTTACAAGCTGACAACTCACACAGCATTTTTGTCTTCTTAAATGGAGTTGAAAATTGATAGATCTATAAGATATTTCTGAATGTAAGAAAAGAACATTCTAAAAAAAAAAAAAGAATATTCTGTTGCAAAAAAAAAAGTGGGAAAGTGTTGGGAGCATATATATGTATGTGTGTGCATGTATGTGTGCTGACATAGAGATCAGGTGTCAGATGTCCTGTAAGCGCTGGGAACTGAACCGCGGCTAGAGCAGTAGTTTTAACCGCTGAACCATCTCTCCAGGCATCCAACTGACTTAACTCTCCTTACTCATGAGTGAGAGACATAAACAAGAACCGTCACCCCATTTGCCACCAGGCAGCCTGGAAAGGCAGGGAGCTATACCACATGGCCAGTTCTCGCTGCTGGTGTGACCACTGATGCTCACAATGCATCACCCAGTCACCCAGTCTTGCCAGTGGAAGGCAGCCGTATACCCAGCGGAAGGCAGCCCGTATACCCAGCGGAAGGCAGCCCGTATACCCAGCGGAAGGCAGCCGTATACCCAGCGGAAGGCAGCCGTATACCCAGCGGAAGGCAGCCCGTATACCCAGCGGAAGGCAGCCCGTATACCCAGCAGAAGGCAGCCGTATACCCAGAGGATTGCCACAGTGGCGGTAACTGCTAAGGACTGAAAAGAGCCAAGCCAAATTCCTACAAAATTTTTTAAAAAAATCTCTCATTTAAGAGAGGGCAATACACAAGAAACATGATAAAGGCGGAAAGGGCAAGCGGGATGGGAAAGTGGGCTGTTGGGGTGGTGCTCTGTTGTGCTCTCCAGTAGCTTCTAAACTCGAAACCATGTAATACATTACTTGGCCCTAGTGGAGCCCTGCATGCTATCCATTTCTGACCTAGCTCCCGTTAGCTGAGTTACCAGACTGTCTCCTGAAGTGTGTCCTGCCCTTCAGAAGCAGTGGAACAAGATCCCCAGAAGACTGACGTACCCAGACCAGGGAAAAGGAGGGCTGGCTCTGACAGGGCCCAGGAAAAGGCTCTGCCAGGCTGCAGTTCCTCTCTCTGCCTGTAGGGGGTAGTAAAAGGCTGCTTGCTCTGGACAGCCATGGCCTATGGAGACGAGGGACACAAGAAACAGACAGGCAGGAGTGGGTAACATAAAATAGAAACGGAATTTATTTCACTGGAAGAAGCAGATATCCAGAGCTGGGACAGCAACTTTGGCAACAGAGGCTGATGGGAACACATCGAACAGCAACGGGGAGGGTCAGGGGTCAAACAACAAAGTACTGGTGCCCCTGGGGTCTCCTTCCAATCCAGGCCCTGGGCCCTGCCAGAGAACCTGCCGCCATTTCTCTGCTTCTGAGCCACTTCAGACTGTCTCCAGGTACGCTCCTAGGAGCGTCCAAGTCTGCAAGTTCACAGTGAAGCCACAAGTCACATTCTGTCCAACACTCCAAATGCCTACAGGGGTTCCCTGGAAAAGGGCCCAGCCCTAAGAAGGGCTTGCTGGATGCTGGCCTACCCTTCTGTGCGGCCAACACATCCTTCTTGCCCAAGTCAAGCCTGGCTTCCTTAGTCTAGTCCTCCAGGGCAAAGCCTGGGGCACACGCTAGCCAGTAGCCCAGCCCTGATCCTGAGCCAGGGGCAGGTCACACACAGGGCCTGCCAGGCAGCTTCCTGTCTTGCCTTCACAAGGCTCCTTCCCACCTCTTGGCCGGGGCACTGAGGGCTGAACCAAGCTGTGCAGAACAGCGCTGGGTGGGTGAGTGAGGTGGGCAAGGTGGAGTCCCAGCCTCCTGCTCTGTTCACGTGGAGCAACAGGCAGCAGTAGGTCCAAGCTGTGGGTGTTCCAGGCCTGAGATGGGCATCTCCCCACCCTGGTCCTACAGACAGGTTCAAGTGGTTCCTTTAGGGCAGACTGTTGTTCTGCAGACAACTATCAGCGTCTGAAAGATGGGAAATAGCAAAAGTTTATCTGTCAATATGAGCTAAACAGCTTACAGGAAATTCAGGGTCACCGCGCAAAAACAAAACAACAAAAAATAACCTGGAAATCTTAGACTACAGTTTTAGAATTTACTCTGAAGTGTCTTTCTTGATGAACTTTTGAATTAAGGAAAGAGTACTACTGTGTACTGGAGTATCTAAGCACTACAGGAAGCCCAGTCTTCTCAGGATGTAAATTAGGGACAACCACTGGCAGATACTCCGGCTGAGTGCCTGTCCAGTGTGTCTGAGGGCCACAGCCCTCTCCCACTGTTTCTGATTGTCTCTGATTAGAGTCAGAGTTACACTGTGTAAGAGCGGCACAGACTGGAGGACCCCAAGGCGCCTGCCTCCCAGCGCCCAGTGAGCTGCACTGGTTCCTGGGATGATACTGGTTTCATGTCTGCCTGTTCACCACTTTGGGGCTTGATAAAGATTTCAATTAATTTTAATCTGTGTGCTTTATTTTATATGACTACATATATATAAGCTTTTAGTGAGAAAACAATGAGATTTTCTTTGAATGTTTATTCCTTCAAAAAGCATTAATATTACCATATATAGAAAAGGGCGTGGGAGGGGAGTGTGTTTGTGTGTGAATACAGGTGTGCGTGCCACACTGAGTATGTACAAGTCAGTGAACATCCTCAGGTGTGGATCCTTGCCTCTCTTCTTGAGACAGGGTCTCTGTTGTTTTCATGCTATGGTGTGCCGGGCTGCCAGGCCCTTCAACTTCTGGGGGTTACTCTGTCCCTGCCTCCCATAAGAGAACCGGGATTACAGAGGCGCAAGTTACATGTCCATATTTCACACAGGTTTGGGGATTTAAACTCAGGTTCTCACGCCTGTACAACAAGCAGCGTATTCACCGAGCCACCCTCCTCCCCAGTACTAACCGGCACGTTAAAGAGAAATATGGTACAAGAGCTAAGAAATATTTGCTTAAACAACCAGGACTAAAATGTTACACCATGAAGCACTTGGGCAGCCAGAGAGGAGGTCCGGAAGTCCGCCTCCTCCACCCAGGGCCTAAGGCGACTCTTCCACTCATGACAAAAACCAAGTGTCTGAGTTCATTTTGTTCTTTGTTCTAAACAAAGCTCCTGCCTCCGGGGCCCTGCACCTGCCCTCTCCCCTCCAGCTGGGGACTCCCTACCTATGTGTGGCTATCCCCAATGACAGCCTTCCTGGGAGAGGGAGCTAGGGCAGTGTGTGACTCACTCACTTGTGGTGGGCAGGGCCACAGGAACCCAGGAGGTGGCAGCCAGCTTGCTCCAGGTTCCAGTCAAACATCTCTAGCACTTTGTGGCACTCCACCCGCGGCCGAAGACCCAGTCCAAAGAGCTGCTCCACCTGAGGGGCAAAGGGCAGTGGTGCCATGGGACACCCTGGGGCAAGGGGTACCAGACCAGAGTCGGGGCACAGGACTCAGAGCCAGCGGGGAGGGTCAGGTACAGCGGAACCAGCTTTCAAGGCCCCTCAACGCCAGAGCAGGCAGGAAGTGATGGTACCTTCAGATACTGGGCAGCCCTCTGCACACTCCAGCTGTGGCTCTGCAGGGCCGCCTGGCACTCCTCTGTGGTCACCCCATGCACCATGGCCTGCAGCTGGGCACACCCACCCATCAGCACCACTTGGGCCCATTCCTCTGGGTCCCTCAGACCCCAGCCCTTCACCTTTAAGTGGGCCTGGCACTCACCATCTGGATCTTGTCTGCTGGCTGTGCAGCCTCTTGCCCATCCCCCGGGCAGCCCCTCTGTGGCAGCCGAGCAGTGGCCCTCAGGGCTGGTGGCCGAGCCCCTGGGTTGCTGTTATTGGTGGAGAAGTTGGCCTTTGGTTCTGGGGCAGCCTGAGGCATAGGGCGAACAGTAGCAGTGGGGGCGGCAGGGGCTGGAGTACTGGGTGGGGGCAGCGGCAGGGGCACAGGCATGGAGGCTGGCTCTTCAGGGCTCTGGGCCTCCCGGAGGAAGCGCTGGTAGCGCTCCAGATAAGGAGGGCGCTCAGGTAGCAGGTAGTAGTGCGTACTGCTGACCTTCCTGCCATCGCGGACAATGGGCAGGATACAGGGGCCAGCCCGCGGGCCAGGAGCCTGGATCACTTGTGGCGTGGCATATTTAGGGTCTGAGGCAAAGCTTTGGGTGGTGGGCATGGTCTTTCCGGGTGAGCTAGAGAGCCGGTGTGGTAACGGAGAGCTGCCAGGTGGCACCAGGGGGCTTGGGGTTCTTGAGCCTTGAGGGGACAGGGGTTCCCGGGGAGGCACTCGGGGAGGGGAGGCAGGTCCAGGCCACCGGCTTGTCTCTTCCTCACCCGAGGGAGCTGGAGATAGCTCCACACGTGGACGTGTGGGCCGAGGGGGAATGGGTACCCGGGGTGGCACCTGGGGCTTGTCATCACCTCCTGGGGTGGGGGAGGGGGTCAGCTGGCCAGTGGGGACCTGTAGCTGCCGCATACACTCCTGCTGCAGTGCCTGGAAAATCTCTGCAGTCTGGGCCGAGCTGGGTGGCTTGCCGCCACCCTGGGGTGGAAGAAACAGGTTGTCCTCCAGGGCAGGGGGCGGCTGCGCCTGCTCAGGCACAAAGGCATAATTGGTCTCGCCCTGGCTCGGCCCAGCAGGGAGGCCTGCACCCACTAGCGTGCTGTTGATAGAGCAGACCTCAAAGTCATCCTCATCCTGGGCCACATCGTCATAGGCAGGGGGCGGGGGCAGCGGGCGAGCGTCCCAGTCCACTACAGGTGTGGGATGTAAAGGCCGTGGCAGTGCCCGCGTGGGGCTCTGTGGTGGTGTCTTGTCCAGCAAGGAGCAGGCATCCATGGCCAACTGTGCCAAGGAGGGTGCACAGGGCCGTGGGGTTGGAACCACGGGCTCCTCGCCAAAGTCGATGAGCGTGACCTCGCCCCCACTGCTGCGGCCTGCCTTGGTGCCTGGCACTCGGGCCGAGGGCTTTGTGAGCCACAGCCCTCGGGGCAGGGATGGCTTCCTCAGGCCCAGCTTCTTGAAGTCGCTGGACAAGGGGTCTTGGTCCTCACTCACAGGGTCATATGTTGGCTCTGTGACAAAAAGGGAGACCCCAACAGGGAGATGGTGTCAGGTATGAGTGGGGAACAAGGGAAGGTAGGATGTGTAAAAGCAACCAAGTAGCCCCCACTGACCCATCACTACCGACTCCCCAGAGGTTAGCCTCTGCACCAAGACCATACCTGACCCTGCTCAAACAGGGCAGAGCCAGCTGTCTGCCTTCAGGCCTCAATGTAGGCCCCCCAACTCTACCCAAGCGAGAGCGGGCCAACATCCCATGCACACCTGACTCTGACGTTCCCACCATAATACAAGAGCCCTGAACTCCTTGCTCTCGGTCTGGTTAGTAACCCCTTGCTCCACCTCTACTGGGGCACACCGTTAGAGCAGGCACGGGCCAACAGGAGCTTCCCTCAGAAGACGGACTCCTGATGCCACCCTGACATCAAGACACAACCTCTGCATGTCTGAAAAAGCACGAGCTGGCTGAGTCACGGCAGGACCGCCTCATCTTTGAGGGCACAGATGGGGAGGCAGGCATGCCCGGCCAGTTCAGCAGCAAAAGCTCACAGCACACACCCGCTTCCCCTTCCACACAGCCACTGGAGCTCTGTACCTTCCAGGAGAGGAGAGGTGAGAGGAGAGAGAGGGCGGGGGCAGGGGCCAAGGCATCCTGAGAAGCCCCACTTACTCTGTGTGAAGATGGCAGGCTGAGGTGGGCGAGGTGGAGGCTCCCCTGTAGGAAAGGCCATGCGGACAGGGGAGGCAGAAAAGAAGAGTGACCAAGCAGGGCAGGGATGAGGGGGGAGGTGGAGCCAGACAGAGGGAAAAGTTCAGGTGAGAAAGGGAGAGGGAGGGAGGGAAGGAAGGAGAGAGAAATAGAGAGAGAGGTGAACAGGAGTGAGCAAACGCACAAACCCAACTGAAGATGGGAGGTGGGAGGGAACGGGGAGGCAGGATGGAACAGTTGTGTTCCAGAATGACAGGCACAGGATCTGGGAGGACGGGGCTCCTGGCTGAGACGGAGCCCAGAGTGGGGTGTTGGCTTGGGAGAGAAGAGCATGATTAAGGCAAGTATGGGAGCCAGGATCTGAACAGCCTGGTGAAGGAGGGAGGAGGAAGCTGAGGCTGCAGGGCCAATGCAGACCAACCCAAGGATACCCACCTCGGCGGATACAGCTGCCTCTCCTCTCCTACCCCACCCCACGCCTAGCCAGGGCCAGGAATCCAGCTGTCCCACCTGCTGCTCTGGCCCAACTGCCCTCAGAGTAGAAGAGCAGGCTCGGGGTGGCCAGTGAATTGGGAAGACCAAGGAATGGGAGGGCTCTTACTTTTCAGCCTTCCTAGATGCTGGGTGGGTCGGGAGGTGCTCAGCTCCACACTCAGCAGGTCAGGGGGGTCCATGGGGTTGCCCAGATACAGTCTGTTGGGAGAGAACCAGGTCAGAAGGCAGAGCAGTGGGGGAGGCACTTCTGGAGATGAAGGCCAAAACCACAACAAAACAAAACCTTCCTGAGTGTTTAGTGAGCAAAGCAAAGAAAGACTAAGACTCAGAGGAAGCTGAGTCACAAGGCTCCCAGACTCTGTACTGGTCAATCCCTTGGGAGGTGGCTCCCACGGGGTAAGCACACCTGACCCAGGCTGAGAAGCCTGTGCCTTCATGGACTCCAATACCTTACAAGGGCAGAGGTGCCCTTGATAACCCTGACAGCATCCAAACCCATGCCAGGCTTCTACCTGCTGGTACACTCTTGTTCTCCAGACTGAAGAGAAGCACCTGCTGCTAGCCCCTAGAAGGGTGGGCAGGAAGCAGCTTCCTGCTGAACCACAGGAAATGGGGAGGAGGTTGAGCTGCCGGGTAGGCTCCCCACTCACTCACCCCAGACCTACTGTCACTGTCTGAGACCTGGGGCTTAGTCAGCAAAGCTGATTAGAGCCTAAAGAATGAGCTAGGCTGGCTAAGGCACAACAGGAGCGGGACACAGGGCGCAGGTCCCCTTTCTTCAGGGGCCCTTACCTGGTTCCTGTGAGGCAGAGCCTCTCTAGGGGCCCGTCGTTCTGGAGTGTGGGGTATGGAAAAACAAAGGCCTATTTTACCATGCTCTCAGGAGGAGGCAGCTGGAGAAAGGGTCACAGAGACCCAGCAGGAGAGCTGACAGAGTACCATAAAGTACCTAATCCTGTATCTTTCTCAGATCCAGGGATCTCACTCCCCAAAACAGAGTGGGCTGGGGCAGACTAGAGGAACACTGCTCCCTAAGATCCCCCTAGGACTGTGCCCACTTCTGAGAAACAAACTCCCTCCTGCCTGGACCTGCGCAGACATGACCCTTGACCTCATAGGTTCAGGGCTCCACAACTCTGGAAACCCCTGAAGGACCTGGACCTGCACAGACATGACCCCTGACCTCACAGGTTCAGGGCTCCACAACTCTGGAAACCCCTGAAGGAAAAAAAGTGTTGTTCAGAGGCAGATGTCTTAGAGAACTGCTTCCCAAGTGTCTTCCCCGTGTGTCAGAATGTGGTGCCTTGTCTGCTGGGTGACAGGGGACTTTTTAGTAAGTAAAAACGAGTCCATCCCTGGGATTTTCTGACTTTGATTTTACTTACAGTGGAAAACTGTACACAGACAGAGAAGCTCTGCCCCACAGGGTGGTTTGGGGAGAAGAGAATGCTGGGGGCCCAGCAAAGAGCTCCCTGGCGCACCACCCCCAAGCACCCTCAGCACTTGGTCACCTACACCTGGCCCACCCCACCTACACAGCCTCCTCTCTTCTGGTAGAAGGGCTTCCGGAACAGAAGAAGCTAAGAGAACAGAAGTGAGGAAGAGCACAGGAGGATGTACGGCTAAGGGCCTGCAGCGGGGAGGGAGGGCAGAGAGGATTCAGAAAAGATGCCTCAGACACCTACGCACCTATTCTGAGGTAAACGCTCTGCAGAGTCAGCACAGAGGGGTCATCGCAAGGGAGAGAGCAAATGTCATACACAGTGGCAGAGAAGAAATGACGCACAACAGAAAGGGATGTGGTCCAAGTGCCACACCAAAGGATCCCCGAGGACAAGTGATAAACAAGCCGCAGGGATGGGGAAAGTTTGCATCTGTGTCCCTGAGGCTGGCAGCCTGTCACGAGAGAGAAAAGCAACTGATTATAGAAAATCATGTGCACACGCACAGCTCGAGGGCCAGCATCTATCTGCATAGGCGACCCACAGCCAGGGCAAAGGCTGTCCCGCTGCCCAGCAGCCATCCACTATAGGAAATACTGGGACCGGAACTTTCACAATGGACCCCATTTGGCTGAAAAGGCCAACAAGGTTAATACCTTAACCATTCCTGGCCTTGGAAAATGACTTTGGGGATGCTCTTTGCCTGCTCCTGGTACTGCTTGCTTTGAGCAGCACTAAGTTCAGAGCCTATTCACAGCCTTAATCTTGTCAGTAACAGACAGCACCATTTTTGGAACCTCTGAGGGCTTGTGTGTGGTGTGGTGAGGGGCCCAGGACCGTATCTGGTCAGTGTCTCTGTCCAGGTACTTACTCATCAATCCTGTCAGGGAACCCCCAGCAGTGCCGGGGGTCGCTGTCTCCATGCCCCGTGTGAATGAAGCTATTCTGTAGAGGCTGGCTGATGTCCTGGGCTGACAGGCCAGCCACGGAGGTCACCACATTCCGAGGGAAGGGTCCTACGCACAGTGTCCGGGTGTTCTGACCACGCCACCAGTAGTTCTCAGCCCTGTGTGACAAAGATAACACAGTGAATACGAAGTGGGGGTGAAGTGACCCCTGGCTAGGGTCCTACTCATGGACCCCTGGCAAAGGGTGCACACTGAAGACCTCGTCCACCCAACAGTCCACTGTGTCCAACAGCAGCCCTATAACCTGCCACTCCTGAAGAGGGCCTGAATATTTGCTCAGCCTTACCCTAAGCTCCTCTGGCAAGCTCAGGTAGCTTTGTCTACAGTCTACAAACAAGGAGACCAGCTCCAACAACTGTCCTACATGACCAGGATCCGAATCAACTGAGTCTGCAAAACTATTTCACTCTCACAATACACCTGTTTCCCACCTACAACGGGGGCCTACCTTGGTCTTAGGGGTCCCTAGATTCACTCTTCAGCAGGGTCCTAGGAATTTTAGTTGATATATCAGCCACAAGGAGCCCCATAAGTTTAGGACCATGCCTTCCAATTACTATTCAGCCCTTCCATGCAGACCTTCAAGATGAAGGAGCACATGGAGACCTGGGGCTTGGCACCACCTGTGGGCAGGGCTATGGGGATCCAGCCTTGCCATCCTCCCTTCTTCTCGGGATGAGGCCGACTCTCTTGCCTTACAACCAGGTGGTCTAGATTTCCCAGTACGGCAAATCATGAAGACCTCAGTCCCTCACTCTGCAGACAAAGCAAACCCGTGTCTGACCCAGGCTGAGCCCACACAGCAAGTGAACAAGTGGAAGAGAACAGAGCTCTCTCTGGACACTCCAAACGCCCCAGAGCTAGCTGCGGAGGCCCTGTGTCTGCTGCACATGCCTGAAGATGTGGACAGTCTGGGTTAAGGTAGCAGTGGTGACAATCGTGCTGCAGGGACCTACCCGCACCACCCACCACTGCCTGCCTGCCCTGTCCCCTCACCTTCACAGCATCTGTCCCATCAGAACGGCCTCCCGTGAACACAGCCTCAGCACAGGGCTGGGGAGCTGCTGTGCACTGCCACAGCTACCTTCTGGTCACTAAGGCTGCCTGCTGGCCCACCACCACCCACAGCAACCCTATGATTACTCCCTGCCTTCAGGGTAGGAAGGGCAGGGAAGGAAGGAAGAAGAAAGGACAACACCCTGAGAAGGAACAATCTCATCTGAAAATAGCAGTGCCATTCCAAGGAGAGAAAGGATCCTTAACGCACACACAGAGCTGCCCGTGAAAAGCACAGGGCAGCAAGGCCTGCCCAGCACCTCCCATCACCAGCGGCTCCTCCATGAAGCAGCCCGTCCCTTTCCTGGCCGCCAGCCCTAAACTCTACTCTGCCCACCTCCTGCGGTGTTCTCTAACTCAGAGAGCCGCAGCAGAGGTAGAAATGTTACCCAAACATTCTGCTCACAACACACACAACCCTACCTTGTCCCTTCTGAGGGCAAAGATGAGTGCCTTCCACCCCTCCTACTACAGGAAGTGGAGGCTGCAGGCCAGGCCAGGCCAAGAACCTGCAAATGGATTTCAAAACTTCTGTCCCCACTCAATACCACTTCTGAAAAAAACAGGGCCTCCAGCCATCCCACCCCCCAAGTAAGACCCTTGAGAAAGGCCTATCATCACTTGTATCCCCACGTCTGTTTTTAGTTTTAGGGCTTTTTGTTTGTTTTTTGGACAGTGTCTCCAACCGTCCTAGAACTCACTGTGTAGACCAGGCTGGCCTTGAGCTCACAGAGATCCTCCTGTCTCTGTCTCCCAAGTTCTGGTATTAAAGGAATGTGCCACCATGCTCTGCGTACCTCCAAACCTAGACAGAGTTCCCTGAGCTCAGCTCACTGAATGTCTAGGTATCCTCTCCCTGCCCCGTACCCCGAGAAGAGCTGGGCACTGGGACAAGCTGCACCCTAGAGCTGGAACTAGGAAGCAGACTGAAGACAGCGCCAGAAAAGAGAAAGACAAGGAAGACAGGCAAGAGCCAGAGGAAGAGCCACAGAGACAAACCCAGCCCAGAGACTCTCCAAGCTCATGCACCGGAAACATGGAGACAACTCAGGCAAACAAACAGAGCGATCTGGGGGTGAAAAGGAGGAGGAAAGCCCGGGTAACCACAGATACACAGGCCCACTCCCGAGGCTTGCCGGCTGCTGGAGTCTCGTGTCCCTCACCTCCCACCTCCTGAGCAGTTCCAGGGACCAAGTAAGAGGTGGCAACTCAAAGGGACGTGTTCTAGGAGCTGAACCATGGGCTGTGACAGTACCAGCAGTTGAAGGCAATGGGAGCCTGGGGCGGAAGGGCAGGACAGGGTGCACCTGGGACAACCTCCCAGGAAGAGACACTCCCCTGGCCCCTCCTGTAGTCTGCCTTGCTCTCCATGACCAAGGGCACCACTTCCAGAGACACCCGGGAAACTCCAGCGTTAGCCCCAGGGAACACAGGCTCCAAGTGGAGCCAGAGACAGACTAGTAAAGACTTGAGGCCAGAGAAGCACAAGGTGGAGTTGGCTCCTGGAAGTGGAAACGGTTACAGGCCAACTTCTGCCCTGGTACCTCCAAGGAGGTTCCCTACCCACCCTCAAATCTTCCTATCTTCAGCCTATTTCCAGACTACTGACTCCTAGGCCTCTGACTTACCCCTGAGGTCCAAAGCCGCACACAGCTCCTTCCTGCCTCCAGGTCTCCCTGAGCAGTTTTTTTTTTTTTTTTTTTTTTCACTTCTATCACCACCCTCTCCCATTCTCTGTAACCAGCTAGGACGTCATTCTTGTTCCAAGAACAGAACAACATGAGAGCCCTGGCCTGAGGCAGCGGGACAGGGGTCACAGTGGATACAGGTAAATCTAACACACCCAGCTCCAGGGCCCATTCCACTGACTCAGGCTAGGACTCACCTCACTCACCAACCCTAGTAAGGCACAAGTCATACCTGAAAGGCCCCCTGCAGGCATCCTTACCCAGTTCTGAGTCAGTGGAAGGGGTACAGGGAATCTCCCTTTGCCTCACTTTTCTTCCTGGTCCTCAACACTCACCCACAGTGCTAATGCAAAGACACCCTACCAGCAACCAGTTCCTCAGACACTCTGGGGATCAGATGACTGGAGGCAGGACCAGCAGAGGGTAGGGCCAGGGCAGGGACTGGAACTAGAAACGTGGAGGAGGCAGGTAGGCCGATTAAGGGACACTGCACATAGGCTATGACCCGAGTTTCAAGTAGGTCAGACACATAGCAGTCCTCCTCACGGGGAAGCCCTGGGAATAGAATGGGACAGAGGTCCAGGCAGTGGATGGAGGGAGACCGTGACTGGGAGACCCCGGTGGGGGGGAGGGGGCTTGACAGGAAGGATGGAAAGTTGCCATAAGGGCGAGGCAGAGCAGGGAGAGGCTGCTTGGGGCCTGAAAGGCTGGAGGTGAGCAGCCAGGCATGGCTGTTCACACTCACAACCCAGTCCTTGGGAGGCAGAGGCAGGAGGATAATGCATTTGAGGCCAGCCTGAGCTACATGAGACCTCTCAAGAACAGAATCCTTCACTTGAGACACCAGAAGTGAAGAACAAGAAACATTTGGGGATTCTGGTGCTGACCCCCAGCTCTGAGGCCAAGCTGGGCTGGGGCTAGCAGGGAAAATCTGTGCAGACGGCTCTCAGTAGTGTGAGGCCCGTCACCAACACTGCCGCCCCGGCCTCTGTGCAGACGGCTCTCAGTAGTGTGAGGCCCGTCAGCAACGCTGCGGCCCCGGCCTCTGTGCAGACGGCTCTCAGTAGTGTGAGGCCCGTTACCAACGCTGCCACTCTGACCTCTGTGCGGCGAACTCTCAGAGGCAGAGGGGGCTGTTATGCACCTCTCAAGCCTGTGCCCTGGAAGGGACGCCCCTACCTTCCCTCGATGACAGTGATGACGTCATTCATCTGGATGTGCAGCTTGTCTGGCTCCTCGAAGTCCTGAAGGGCCCGCATGTCAGTAGGCTGAGCCTGGGGCACAAACACATCATGTCTGGTCCAGGCTAAGCATCCGATGCCCCCTCTTGCACTCCCCAGCCACCATGGGCAGATCCGCCCTCACCTCCAGCAGGAAGTCCCGAAGGGCCACAAAAGTGGGTCTGTCCTCTGGTTTGTGGGCCCAGCACTGGACCATGACATTGTAGATGTCTTGGGGGCAGTCCTCAGGCCGGGGCAGGCGCTCCCCTTCCTTGTCAATCTTATGCAGAATCTGCCAGGCAGGAGGGTGCACAGGTTAGGGGCAGCAGGGCTCTTGTCTCCTCACCGGCTTTTCCCTGACCGGACCCACAGCTGAAGGTGACACGCCTGGCCACCACGGCACATGTGTCCCCAGAGCCCAAGACCTTTATTTCCAGCCTTAGCCCTGCCCAGAACTCATCCCTCATCCATGTTCTCCCACCCCATCCCTGTCCTGTGACATTCTCAGTAGCCACTCTCTTGGCTAAGCTCAGAGAGGCCGTGTCAACACAGAGCATACTGAGAGTCGATCAGAAAAGAATCAGTTCCAACAAGGTCAGGCTGGAAACCAGGGGAGGATGACTCCCACCCACCCTATGGAGCCCACCCCTAGTCTCCTCACCTGGCTGCCATTGAGGCCAATCCAGGGCTCCTGGCCATATGTGAACATCTCCCACAGTGTGACCCCAAACATCCAGGTGTCACTGGCATGAGAGAAGGTCCGTGTCTTCAGGCTCTCAGGGGCACACCTAATAGAAAAGGGTCAAAGGGAAGGCTTCTTGTGGACCCTATCTCTGGAACCAGAAGATCCTACCATCTAAGCAAAACATCAGTCCCGCCAGGGCCCACGGCTGGTAGGTACCACAACACACAGGTGAAGAGCACCAGTCTCAGCCTTCAAGATGCAGCACAATCTATTCCTGCCTGGGCCAGCTTGACCTAAACACGCCCACTGAACGTTCTTTCCTGGCTATTCCCCATACATTTTAAATTTAACAGCAAGCCCTCCACAGGGCCTTTTAGCACCGCACTAAGTACCATGCCCTTGGTATCTCAAGAGCAGTCACCCTTGGGCCTTCCAGTATCCACCTAGAGAATTCCTTGGATGGATGTGCAAACATGTAAGTAGATAAGAAAGGTACCCCAGGCACAGAACAGATAAGGACAGGCCAGGGCAGAGACAGTGCTGTGGTGGGTAACAGAGTGCCCAGAAGCTTGTGGGTCTTCTGAGCCTGGGGTGGAACTCAGGCCCTATAGGCCGGCGGCACCTGCCCCTCACCAGGCAAAGGGCACCTTGCGATGTTCTTGCATGACATAGTGGTCATCATTCTGGGGTAGAGCTCGCATCAGTCCAAAGTCCCCGATCTTGACCAGGTCACGGGTAGCCAACAGCAGGTTCCGAGCAGCCAGGTCCCGGTGGATGAAGCGCTTGGACTCCAGGTATCCCATGCCCTCAGCCACCTGCACAGCATAGCGGCTCAGAGTCCCCAAGAGGAAATGACCTTGGTGTTTACGCAGTCGGTCCAACAGAGATCCCAGAGGTGCCAGTTCTGTCACCTGAGGTCAGACATGAGAGGGTAAGCAGATCTCTACTCTCTGAGGGGCAAGGTTTCCGGTCCCGTTCTGGACATCTGCCATAGCCATACGTAATACTCCTTCCTGACCTGTCTGCTCAGAGTTACCACGAGTTCCACAGCTTCCCAGCCCTGTCCCTCCAGCGACCCCAGGGATCTGAGACCCAGACAGCAGCACCCCAAAGAGGGTCAGACTAGAAATTCCAAAGACCAACTTCAGTTAAGGGCCAGTCCTTCCTACGGGCACAGCTCCTTGTCAATGGGTACTAGAAAATCTAAAAATGGCAGTGCTGGGCAGGACCCTGGTAACCCCCTGGCCATGCGTGGTGGGAGACGCTCTCTGACCCTCCCTCCTACCCAAGCTCTCACCATCTTCATGGGTGGCGTGAGCACCACACCATACAAGCGAATGAGGTTTCGGTGGTCAAGCGAATGCATGGCATTGACCTCCCGGATGAAGTCATCCATGGCCTCTGGCTGACTCAGCACATCTGGCTTCAGGCACTTCACGGCCACACTCACCTGTCAGGATTAGCAGGGAGTTAGACCTTTCATGGTTGGTCGCCAACACTGAGCTAACTGCTCCTTCCAACTCGGGGCAAAGATCCTTGACTCAGACCTGTTCACCTGAGTGGGTGAGCGTGTACGTCCCTGGCGTGGGGACAGGGCTGACTGACCTCTGAAGGTCATTAAATACGGGCCTGCTCTTTCTAGGAAAACTCTCAAGTTAGCAGTGCCAGTCCATGAAGTGAGGAGCAGTACGAAGACAGTGATTTGTTTAGCTTTTTCTGCAAGCTACAGAACTGGAAAAGGGGATGTATCTGAAATGGACACAACACCTGTGGGGTGGGGGCTGGGGAGGAGACAACTGCGGCTCTGCGTCAGTCAAGCAACGGAACTGCAGACCACTGGTCTTTCGCTTTTCAGAGTTCAATCTTTCACAGTAAGCAAACTAAAATATTTTTAGAGTTGAAAAAAGAAGCCGCTGTGCTTAGTTAAGCCTGAAGGCGAGTCCTTTTACAATCCACACAGAGCTCACCGTCTTTCCCGCAGGGGCGTCCCATTCACCCCTGCGCACCACGCCAAAGGAGCCGTCTCCCAGCTTCTCCAGGAGGCGCAGGTCCTTCTCCCCGATGAGGCAGGTGAGGCTCTGCAGGGTCCCTTCCCCTGCCAGGCCCCCTGGGGTGGGTGAGGGCTTCCGGAAGGTGCTCTGAGAGTGATGGGGAGGGAACTCAGCCTCCAGCCGCTTTCCACTGAACACCTGTTTGAAGGCAGCAAGGAGCCAGATGGAACCCAGAGCCCCAGAACCACTCAGTTTTGCCAAGCTGCCCAGGGGCGACCCATTAAAGGCTCATACTTCCTCCCGAGTATACCCTAACTGAGAATCCACAGTTGAAGCCTCGGGGTAGGTGTCAACAACAGGTAAAAGTACAGTTTATGGCTAGAGTGACCCCAACTGGTCTGTGAATGGACAACACAAAGCCCTCTGGGTACACCCCCCACCCCTAGTCTTCAGCTCCTCCCCGTTCTACCCTTCCCTTCCTGAACCTCTTATCCATCACACACTTTTGCCCCTAGCACACAAAGAGAGGGTAGGAGCCTGAGGGGCCCTCCAAACACCTCCCTGTCCATTTTTAGCCCTGGCCCCTTCTCTGGGTTAACCATTTGGCTCTGTCTGTCTCTACCCTCCCTGGGGAGTCGCCTGCCCTTCATCCTGCCCAGGGGAGAAGATAATTTTAGTCTGAGGTTGAACCATGAGTGTGTGTGTGTGTGTGTGTGTGTGTGTGTGTGTGTGTGTGGTGTAGATGAAGTGAGTCTTTTCTGGAGAAGGGCCTGGGAAGACAGCTGGGGTTCTGGAGAGGAGCCTAGAGTCAGAGGCTGAGAAGGATGGAAGACTAGAGGGGTCTCTGAGGCCTGTTTTTGAGAAGGAAGTGCCAAAGGTCAAGAGACGGGAAAAGGGCCGTGAGCAGGCCTGGGCATGGCAGTCTGAGAGGGCCTCCAGAGCTCTAGCTCCAGGCTGCAGACTGGCCTCGGCTCCCCAAGGTTGGCCACCTTCCTGCATGTGCTAAGGGCAATCAAATCTGAGGTCCAATAACTAGAATTACTAATATACTAGGTCTCCCTCAGCCACTGCAGCCAGGAGGGACCCTCCCACAATCGTGCAAGGTAAGCTGGGTAATGAGGCTAACTGGTTTCCTGGAGACATGACCATTGGGAGAAGGACACTGATCACCCAGAGACCTACTATGAGTCAGGCACAGATCCAAAGCTGCTACACTGCTTCTCTCTCCCACCGTCAATCAGCCCGACACACTCATCTTTCACTAAAACCTGGGCAAAGGACCAGGACTGTGTCCCCAGAAAAGGCCACAGGCTCTCAAGAGACAGCCCCTTTGCCAAATTGCAGCCAGGAAATCTCTACTGCCCAATCCCTGACCGGCTGTTCTGTCCTGCTCACCCCCCACTCCAGTTGAGGCCAGGAGTGGGGAGGGAGGCCCTGGCTGGCTCACTTCCTCTCTCATTGTCTTCCAGACAATGGGCAAAGTTCCACTGAGTCACATCAGGGACTCACAACACCACAGACCCAAATTAGGACGGGTGCGGGGAGCTGTGGGGAAGGAATTCGTCAGCAGAGCCAAATGACCAGAGAACATGGGGGACGCGGGGCTGCATGTCAAAGCCAACATGTCCAGACAGTCCTCGCTACCCTATGATGGACACTGGCCTGACTCAAAGGGACAGTTGTCAACAAGTCCCTGCCCCTGCACACAGAGAGGCTGTTCACGTGTCCGTCTGTGGCGGAGACAGACACTTAGTCAGGCAGCTTCACAAGTGCCCTGCCAGATAAAAGCCTGGAGGAGGGGGTCTGTACAAAGTGTGCAGGAGCTGGTGAGATTACACCTGCTGGGGACAGGATGCGGGTCCTAGGCCCGCCAGCGGTGTGAGGCCCTTGGGGTGCCCCTCCGCCCCCACACAGTACTCACGCACCTTGCTCATCCATGACTTGCGTTTGCACATGACCTTCCTCCTCTTCACAGCCTCCCACAGACGCCTCTGACCTGCGAGAAGGGAAAAGGAGCCCAGGGCTGTCAGGGAGACTGCTGTCCACCTGGCAGGCTTCCTCGGTTCCTCCGGTAGGCCCACCAGTAGCTACCGCTCGGCACACGGACACTCAGCCAACTAGGAATTTCATTCACCCAATCTCTGCATGACTTTCAAGCTGGGTGGAGGTGTCTTTTCATCAAAACTGAACAGTCATGGCGGGCAATTGACTCTCCAGACAAATCAGGTAAAGATATATACAGAATTCCCTCCATTCTAAGGTTTATTCCCCATAAAATGTCCTTACACTGCTGACACCAGGCACCGTGCTGGCTGGCTTCACGCCAACATGACACAAGCTGGAGTCATCAGAGGGACGGACCCTCAGTTGAGAAAGTGCCTCCAGAAGACCAGGCTGTAAGGTATCCTCTTAATTAGTGACTGACGGGGGAGGGGCACCCCTGGGCAGGCTGAGCAAGTCATGAGGAACTAGGCAGTAAGTGGCACCCCTTTGTGGCCTCTGCATCAGCTACTCCAAGATCGTGTCCTCTCGACAGCTCCTGTCCTGACTTCCTTCGAGGGTGAACAGTGACTGGAAGCGTGAACCAAATGAAGCCCTCCCTCCACAGGCTGCCTTGATCATGCCGTTTCAGCACTCAGCGGTAACACTGAGAGAGATCAGCTACCCAGGCCTAAAGCAGCACAAGTTAGTGTCATTTTTAATCTTACAAAACACTTGGCTCTTCTGAGTTGAACACATTAAGGTTTCTGATTGTGTGTTTTGAGACAGTCTACAGTAGCCCAGGATGGCTGAATCTGCTAGGCAGCTGAAGACTGATCTACTTCTCTGCCTCCACCTCCTGAGTGCTAGACTTACTGGTGTTTGCCACTACACCCGTTTGTGGTGCCGGGAATTAAACCCAGCACTTTCCTTTTTAACAAGCGCATTCTACTACAACCCAATGATTTCTGATGATCCAGAGAACGCCATGACTTCTAGCCGTCAACTGCTACATTCGGTTTAGAAAGAAACGAAAGATAAAGTTTCTATGTGTTAGCAAACCATCTGAGAGATGGACTTTAAAAGACTTTGTACATTTTTATTTATGTATGTGTCAGTGTATACGCGCATGCCTCATGTTGGGAGGTGCAACCTGACGCCTTTAATCACAGAGCCATCTCTCTGGCCCGGTCTAAGAGTTGTGTCCTTCCCTTCTCATTGTAGAGCTCTTGGCACTGACCCCACTGCTGTTCAGAATCAAACAGAAGAGACGAAAGGGACACCGGAAATACGTCCCACAAATATCTGCTCAAACACAAATGGGGCGGGCTGGGAAGCAGGCCTGGGAACAAAGGCATAATCCCGGCTACCAGGGAGCTGAGACAGGAGGAACTAAAGTCCATGGTCTGCTCTGGCTACGGACAGGTTCAAGGCTACTCTGGGTACCTTACTGAGAATCTGTCTCAAAAACACAAAGTACAAAAAGGACTTTCCAACTCACATTTACAACCAGAAACCATTCCCAGGGAACCCTGTGACCAGCACCTCTACTGATGCCTCCACTCATCTCAGGGGCTCTGGGTCTCAGGCTGACAAAGTTCTCAGCTGCCATGACAAAGAGATTCTTCTGTGTCCTAGGCCATACTAAAGGTACCAAGTCAATGGTCAAGAGGATCAAGCAAGGCCCACTGGCTACCTACCAGGCCGGCCCATGCCAATCTTTTCCAGGTCCTCGTTCTTGACATACTCAAAGTGGGACAGGCGGGTGACGTTGAGATCATCGCGAAGCCTCAGGAAATACTGCTGCAGCTGCACCTCGGACAGCAGCTCCAACAGCCAGCCCGTCCCCTCCTCCGGCTGCATGCTGCTGCTCCCCAGCCTCTGCGGGAAAGGAAGCATAGCTGAGAGGCCAGGGCATGTAAGCAAGTGGCAGGAGACCTGGCCATCAATGTGGCGCACCCACATTCTATAGAACCCAAAGCACCTTCTCGTTCCCCCAAACAGCGGAGATGAGTCCCAGACCAAAGCAGTCAGGAATCAAGTCTTACTCCCAAATCTGTGCTCTCTGTCTGAGTGAACTGAGATCAACTGTGCTCAGGGACCTCAGGGAATCACAGGCCCCTGAAGCACAGACTAACAGTATCAGTTATCTTACTCCTACAATCTCATTTAGAAGTCAGGGTGGGGTACAGTGGCCCTGTGAGATCAACCCACCAGACCCCTCATCAGACAGACCCCACAGAAGATCTGTCCAGTTCTTACTGCCTGACACCACCAGGCCTTACCCACTAACCCACGGACAACACCCAGGTGCCTAAAGCGCCATAAGATGAAGACGAGAGTGGGAAGTGTGGACCAGACACCCCAGTAAGCGGGCGCTTGCTTCCCTAAACAGCTGCCCCGAGAGACTAAGGCCCGGTACTTTAACCAAAACTTGTCAGTTTTGCAGTACCAGATGTCACAATTTGTATGACATCTTACCTTCAAAAATATCTTCGGAATGGCAACACATGCACATTGTAAATACTCAAGAGGCACAGGGAACCTCATCCTCTCTCCTCCTGTGCAGCCACCTAGCTCCCAGTCCCCAAAGCCAGCTGCCAATGTCTTCTAAGTGTCCTTTTAAGTCACACATTACCCATACTGCTGTTTCTCCTTTTCCACTTAATATTTTATCTGTCTCAACTTTTAAATGACGCCAAGCAGTTCAACTCTAAAATATGTGTGAGTGCACACAGTCTATACGTACTGGCAAAACAAAACGTACCTGCAGGTACAACCAGCCAATGCTGAGAGTACCTGTCCAAGGTCCAAGGTCCAGAGGAAAAGGCCAAGACCACCTTCAAAGCTAAAGTCAAACCCATCCCTGTTTGAGTAAAACACCTGACAATAAGCACTTTCGCAGACCAGACTCTGGCCTCACCTCAGTTCCCGAGGAAGAAGACAGGTGAGGTGAAAAGGTCAGCTGTCTATTAGGGGCCAGGTGACCCGCTCCTGAACATAGCGCACTCTCAATACAGATGCAGTAAGAGGAATGGGCCGCCCAGCCTGAGCCTCCTACCCCACAATTCTCAGTGGTCCTGCCAACAGTGCTAGGAGCTGCAGCTCAGATGTTCCCTGCACCTCAGGGCTCCACAGAGTAATGGACAGGAAGGACAAGCCTTTGGTTCAAACCCTGGCTCTTCCACCAAGGAGACTGGGCTGGTGGCGGCTTCCAAACTTTAAGCTGTAACCCTTTATTTGGATGGTTCTCTAAGGGCTGTACAACCCTCCAGATAGAAGATATTTTTGTCTGTCATAGTGGGGGGGGGGTGACATTTAGCGGGTAGTAAGGGGTAAGAACATGAATTATTCTGCAATGCACAGGACAGATTTGAACACACGGATTCCATGCAACTTTATGCAGGTTAAAACCATTAGAATGATCCAAACCTAGACTTAGATTCTATTGTACATTAAACAAGAAAAAGCTTTTATAGTTTTACTGTAGCCTGCTTTTCCTGAACTGTGTGAACCGTTTACTGTGTAAACTGAGGAAAACGCTACCCTTTGGAATATGGCAAAAGTCCACTATCAGATTAAAAAAAATTAGGGAATATACCCTATTATCACAAAACTCCTCCCAGTGGCTCTCTTGAGGCTTGAGCCTCTTTGGTCCCTCCCAATACAGCTAGTGCATGACAGAATACATCAAGGGTTACAAACTATTTTCCTCTTATTTCTCCACATATTATAGTTGGCACCATGTTTATTGACTCTACATATACTTAATATGTAACATTCCTATTAACTGTATTTGTGAAGGGAAGCAAAAAATAATTTTTTATTTTTTTTTTTTTGGTTTTTCGAGACAGGGTAGTTATGGTACTGGAAAGATGGTTCAGAGGTTAAGAGCACACACTGCTCTTCCAGAGGACCAGGGTTCAATTCCAGCATCTACATGGCAGCTCAAAATCATCTGTAACTCCTGTTCCAGGTTATCTGACTCCCTTTTCTGGCCTCCTCAGGCACTGTACACACACGATGCATAGACGTACATGCAGGCAAAACACCCATATACATAAAATAATAAGAGAAAAAACTTGAGAAAGCTACAGTTTCTACATCAGTTCTAAAAGTTTAGTTGTACTGGTGCATTCGTCCTCAACAAAATGAACTGTTTGCAAACAGCGTGTGGGGGTTAAGCAGACGTGTGCCACTGCTTTCCAGAGTAAAGCCCGAGGTGCAGGGTGAAAAATCACTGCACTGGGCTCCACCACTGGGCCTTGGGCCTGGAGCGAAGCGGCCCTGCCCCATTAGCTATGTGGAAGGGCTTCAAGATGAGGGCGACTGGTCCCATCAGGAGAAGCAGCCACGGGTCTTCCTCTCCTCTCATGTCCTCAAGCCGTAGGACTCCCAACTCCCCATTCCCGTCTCTAAATCCAGGTCATAGCTCAAAGTCACACCCTGAACAGTCAGGGAGGGCTCAGTGAAACCCAGAGGCCCTGCTGAAGCTACCTAGAAAGCCCAGCCCAGCCTGTCCCCCCCCCCTTCCTTCACAGACTAGCCAACACACCTCCCTGCTCAGCTGGACACTCCCCTCTCCAGTCCCCAACCCAGGGACAGGGCACCCATGAGGGAGAGAGATGAAGCCTAGAAGACATCCTGGCGAAGAGAGGAGTCAGGTGGGGGTCTAGTCCCCTTGCTACTGCTAAGCCCAGAGTGACAGCCCCTAAGACTCCCTCCAGCCACGTTCCTTTGTCTGTGATGCACAGGGCACTAGAGCAGCGACTCCCAGCTCAGACAGTCTGGCCCACAACATGGTAGGAAATCTACACTACCTGTGTACTGCACATGCAGCTGCATGGCCTGTGTGTAAGCACACACCAGACTGACCACACACTCATACACGTAGGCGTGCACACAGGCTCCCAAGAACGACTGCGGCAGCTAGGAAGGAAGACACTCCAGCTTACACTCCGTGAGCCTCAGGAAGGTGCCGCTCAGTCATGCCTACCCTGCCTCTCTGTAAAGTGCTGCTACCGAGGGGCTAACCATGTCCACAGCAAGTGCGCTTCCCACCCCCAGCCCCCCCACACCACCACTCACTGTGTACAGACGTCGCCGCAGTCTGGCCAAGAGAGGAAAGGAGAGCTCAAGGCCAGGGAACCGACGGGCTGCCGGCATCTCCACAAACTGAAGCCCCTAAGAAGTCAAAGGAGCTATGGCCTAGATCTAAAGAGGGCAGGCAAGGGTCGCAGCTTCTGAGTTTTATGCTCTGCCCAGCAAGGAAACCGGCCAGAGGGTGGGAAACCTGTCTTCGAAATCCCCCAAGTCCCACCAGAAGTAGGGAACGGGGAAGAACGGAGTGCCGGCTTTGCTCCACAGCTGGCCGCAGGCTGGGTCCTCTCCTGTCTCCTCTCCAGGGCAGTGCTCACAGCTCTAGTCCTACCCCCGGGCTTCCCCCCACTGCCTGCTTGCCCGCCTGTCCTCCTTCCCTCCCTCCCTCCCCAGCTGAGCGGCTCTGACACTGGCTGAAAAAAGACCTTTCTGAATCACTGCCAAGAGGACAGCAGGAATGGGGGGGGCACTCTTCCTCCTAGCACCGGCCCCACTGACTCCCCATACACAAGGCTCCCTGTCTCTAGCCTCCACTGCAGCCCTCACGGTTGCAGACAATCCCTGGGATTTCAGTGTGGGGGCCGTGAACCAAACAGCACATATAAAAACGGGTTACAAGCCTCCATGGGGCTTTTCCGGGTCTATGGGGACTTGACTGCAGCCTGAATTGGGGGCTTGGATTCTGAGTCTTTCCTGGATCCTGCAGACAGATCCTTCAAAGACCCTCCCCCACACACGTCCCAACCTTGGCTGGGTGTCTCCTGGCTCAGACCCTAATGTGGCCCTGTTACCCTGGTGCCCGACGGAAATAGGAGGCTGGCAGCCTGCCAGAGTGGGACAGTCCAGCCAAGGGGGGTGGTGAGAATCTCCACCCCTCCCCCGGATTGCCTTGTGTACTGCCCACAACAACCAGGGTGCCTACTTCCCAGATTATCTGGCAAAGACCCAAGACTCCCTCCAAATAAACAAACATGTCCAAGCCCTCTGCCGGGATGCTCCCACCTCAAAGCTGCAGCTCAGGCTGCAGGGTAGCATCTCGTACAGCACTGCACACACATAACAACCTCAGCTTAAGGAGGCACCCCACCAAGCCCCTAGGGACCCCCATATTCCTACAGCTGACAAATGTTCCCTCTGCCCCTCAAAGAGGCCAGCTGCTCTACACCCCCTCACTGCAGCTCCCAGATACACCTGACAGCTGCAGGAAGTCCTCTTCTGCTCCCCAGATCCCAGCACCACCCCCCAGTGTAAGGAGCCCCTGTTTCTTGTACACTGCTCTCTTGTCCCTACCCAGCTGGCTGCCAGCTCAGGGAGCCACAGCTGGCTCATGGGGGAGTTTTGGGGAGTCAGCATCCCAGCAGACTCTTTCCAGGATCTTTTTCAGTGGTTGGACTCCTAGCTAGAAGGACAGCCATTTTCTATTCTGATGAGGGGTGCCCCCAGCAACAGCCCTTCCCCATTGCCATCAGTCATACAAAGACTGTGGACTGCCAAGTACAGCTTCTCTTCAGGCTTAGCAAACAATCAGTGTGACCACTGAGGTCAAATGTGCAAGGCAAGGTCAGGCCGAGGCTACACGCCTTTCAGCACAGGTTGGCTGACCACACCCTCAGACTGCAGCAGGCTACAGACGATCCTTCTCCATAAGATACCACCTGAAGCTGACCTGCGTCTGTCAGTAAATTAAAACAGGTTTTTTTTTTTTTTCTCTACTGCTAAACTGAAGCTGATTAGAGTGGTCAGCGTAAAAACTCCAGCCACCCCTGAAAGGAATGCCCCAAATTCACCAGAAAACTATGCCTGATCGTTCCCTCGGGTGTCTGCGTAAGAACACCTGGCAGCTTACCCAGAATCCAGCTATGGGAGACTTGAAGAGGGCAACAGACGTATATCGTGGGGTCAGAAGCCAGATCAGTTCCTGGACCTCTTCCTTGCCTGGGAAAACAGACCTGACCTTTCTGCCTCTCAACTCCCAGGCACATTCCCCTTTTCCTGCCAGCTACTGCTCTCTCCCGGCTAGGAAAGAAAGTGCTTGATCTCCAAGGGGAAGAGGACCCGTGCCATTTTCCAAAGCCCACAGGGATATTTGGATTCATACACATACTCAATAAATGGGAACGCCCCAAACACAGCTTCCTCCTATAAAAGAGTGTTCCTGAATACTAGATGTGTTTCCTAGGCTCCTAACCCGCAATGCAGAAAGCCCAAAGGGTAGCTTATTTGTACCCCTAGGGACCCACACTGAGTCAGATACCAGCATCAATAATTCACCACCACCATCACCTCAGACTTATCAGCCACACACACACACACACACACACACACACACACACACCCCGCTCTGCACCCAGCCTCCTAGCCCTACAGCTCGGGGGAGGAGGGGGCGGGACGGGGGACGGGACACAGGCACCCTGAGCTCTCACGAAGAAGCTCTGCTGCAGAGAACAGAGCTGGGCCCACAGAGCACCAGCAGATGAGGCCTGACTTCCAGGTTTCTCGCTATCCCCATTACCTGCTGTCCCTCCTCGCCCCCAGCCAGGCGCTGGTAAGCAGATCTCTCCCCCATTGTACCCAAAGTCCCACCGTGGGGGCAGAGGGAAGCGGAGCTACCCGCAGCCCCCGCCCCTCCAGCCGCACCGGCAGCAGCAGCACCCGCAGCGTCACTCCCCTGCGTCCAGGGGGGCGGGGGCGGGCCTCGAGCATCCTTCAGGAGGGGAGGGGCTGCTAAAGCGCCTGGGCTGGAAAGGCTCCAATCCCGGCACCTGCATGAATTCCAAGGGCTCAGGTCCACAACCAGGTTATCACAGCCTCTGCTCCGGTTGGGCCCGGCCTGTGGGCACCCAGTCCCCACAGCCTCCTTCCCAGTTTCTATTCGTCTCTGTGTAGCGTTGCCCCTATGCAGCTAACCAGCAAGCAGTGGCAGCCGCGACCCTTAGGAAACCAGAGCAGAGGCTCCACCCTCTCTGACTTCAGAGCCATTGCTCCCCTGAACTTCAGGAGCCTCCAAGAATTCAAGCTCCAGAGTCACCAATTAGTACCTCAGTGATCCAAACACCCTGATACTCAATAATACCGGGGTCACCTAAGAAGCCACAGAGGCCTGTGTCCTACTTCACCGAGCCCCTCCCAGCAATCTTGGGGATTGAAATATCTTCTTCCTACCCCCTTAACACCCAGGTCTACTCCACTCCAAGAATGCTTGGCACCCACCTGCTGAGAACACATACAAGTTCTAAGCTCCCTAACTCACTCCTCACCCAGTCATGGAAGCCACATCGCTATCCCTCTGTCCATCCCCCACTCCCCATGGGCAGACTGACAGACCCAGACCCAGGGCATCCTATTGCCCTTAGCTCTCCAGTCCTCGACCTCTCCTTCCTCTCAGACAGCACTGGGTCTGGGCATGCTCAGCAGACGCTTGTGACTTCAGAGCTGAGGAGCCCAGACTGCTGGAGAAGTGGCTCCAACACAGGCTGGGAAAAGTGCGAGCAGAGACACACACACCCTCATTCCTATGGCATCTGAGGCATCCCGACTCCTTCCAAGCAGGTATTTAGAGCTCAGCTGAGCTCAAGGCACTCTCCTCCTTCCTGGGACGCGTGCGAGGCAGAGAAAAATGTTTAGATACTCCTGCAATCAGCCCCAAGGCAAAAGAAGAGAGCCTAGGAGGGCACTTTGTGAGTTCCCAGCAGGCTTTACTTCCTCCCCACACAGCCCATCTTGGAGCAGCTATGGCAGGGAGAGGACTCTGCCAGGCCCCAGGTTCTAGCCTACGTGGAGGCTCCCTGGTATCTTACCACAGCGATGGTAGAAACTAGTCTTGGGCACTGTTACCAGAGCCCAGAGTGGGCAACATGAAGAGAAAGCAAGGCTGAATACACCTTGCCCATCCCCTTTTGCCCAGGTGGGCTGAATGAAGTCTGATTCAAAACCATCCCTCGTTCCTGCGTGCTCCATCTCATCTCCCATCCCTGCACTGTCACGAAATGCACAGAAACCACACTACCGTGACATCCGGGAATCCAGTCCACACAGACACCCTCACTGGGCCTCACTCTCCTTTAGCTCTCCACACCATATAACCAAACAGAGCCAGCCCAACAGCTCCAGGGAAACCACAAATTCACACTGCGAAGTGGACATGACAAGCAACTTCCTGCCAAGAGGATTTTGTTTTTTTCCAAAAAATAGCCTACCATATTCTTGGGACTGTATGCCAACCCAACAACCAAGCTGTCCCTCACCCCCTCTTCCTCTCTGGTAAACACAGGAGCCCACAGCTCCTCCCCTAGCCACAGCCACAGAATTCTCCTGCCGCCCATACGAACTCCGCCAAGTCAGATCAGCTCAACTCACCTCTATGTATGCGGGGCCCAGGCTTCAGGGCCCAGGCTTCTGGCCCAAGGCCAGGCTGGTTCCCCTCAAGACCTCATTCCAGAGGGGACTATACCAGGCAACCCCACACCTTCAGGTCAGCGTGGTCTGACATCACTGGTCTGAGGAGGCAGCTGGCCAGAGGCCAAGGAAGAGAAGGGAGTGATTCAGACACACACCATGGCTGTCCACACCCTCTCCATCTCCAGGACAAGGGGCCCACTCACTCCTAAGGAGCTGGCTAACTGAGGTCCTGTGCTTGGGCCAGGCTGAGCTATTTTCTCTACGGATATTGGGCCCACAGACCAAGGCTAGCCTAAAACCTCATCTTCCCCCCTCTGCAACCCCCAAGACAGGGTTTCTCTGGGTAGCCCTGGCTGTCCTGGACCTTAGAGCTCTGCCTGTCTCTACTTCCCAGGGACTAGGATTAAAGGCATGCGCCCCCACTGCCCAGCTTGTCTTCCTTAGAGCTCCGCCTGTCTCTCTCCTGAGGACTGGGATCAAAGGCATGAGCCACCACTGCCTAGCTTGTCTTCCTTACATTTTAAAAAAATATTTTACTTGAAATCTAACTAATGAAATAACATCTAGAGGAGAATTAGGGAGTATTTTAAAGCACGCACCGTATTAGACTGCAAACAGCGGCCCAGCCTCTTAAGACAGACTGTCTTTATAACTACTACGTCCTCTCTGAGCACCATTCATTCTCTGAGCCGGTTGTTGTATCTTTTATTTCTGTTGTTTCATGTTTTTTATAACCCACTGAATCCAATTAGTGTTGCTCATATGCTCACGGGAGTGAGGCCACCCACAGAAGCGTGGACAACCTACCAGTGGTCACGCCCTAGAGAAGTGGTCACGCCCCAGAGGAACACGGCTCTCTCTCCCTACCAGTTACCATTATTCTCCTTAGCTGTTATTTCTAAAGACTTCAGACCT